AAAGCTTGCAGAAGCATCAAATGCAGCAATTTTAGCATTTGTATGTCAAAGTAAATTCAAAAATAAGCATTAAGCACAATACTAAAAGCTTTTAATGCATTCGATAGAAGTAACTGATATCATATGATTTGATAAAACTAATAGTTTTCCATTTGTTAATATTATTTAACTTTATTATTACTGTTAGCAATGACAGAGTTAAAAAGTAATTTTACTTTTAATTACTTTTATAATATCACTATATGGTTGGAATTTTTAATTTTTTTAAAATTTTAAGTGTTTTCGAAAGAAATTTAATGAAATTATAATTGTAGCACATAACAATTTTTTTTTTAGTTTTTCGCTATTTCTTAGTGAAAATTTTTTCTTTGCCAAAATTTGAAAAAGAAAAATGAATTTTCAAAAATACAAATGAATTAAATGCACACAATTCAATAGATCTCCCCTTTTTTAAAAAAAATTTTGACATTTTGATGTTTCATAATATTAATTTCAATTATTTATTAATTTTATTATTGCCTTAGATATTTTATTATTGTAAATGCACTTTAAATTTTTGCTAATTTCATTAATTTTAAGTTGAAACACATACTTTAGTTAAGCACATTCCAGTTTCAACTTTTAAATTTGAAAATTTAAATTTAAAAAAAAATGAAACAATGGAAACACAAAGAAATGAAAAAAACATTACAGAATGGTTATGCAATAAATTATAATGTCAAAAGCATTGTTTTTAAAATTATGAAAATTACAGAGAGTGGAGGAGTGGGTGCAAAATATTACCTATGGGCAAAGAGAGTGGAGGAGTAGGTGCAATATTACCTATGGGCAAATATCAGGTAATTGTGTTTCGGTTTGCTTTTCTTTACTTATTTCACATTGTTCATTTGCTACAGGAAATTTAAAAAAGTGAATTGAGTCATTACAGTCAGTCAGTGTTTGATAAATTAAATAAGAAAAGCAGAAGCATTTCCGATAATTCATTATATTTCTATATAATTAGTATTGAGATAAGTTTGTTAATTAGTATTTTGTTAGAAATTTAAAAAAAAATATTTTCATTTTAAATTTGAAACAATTGATTCGATTTCCTGAATTCTGGAGTGAAAATTACAAGTAGAATTTTAATGAACAGTATAATTAAATTATGTTGAAGAATACAAATCATAAGTTTATAAGGATTTCCGGTTTCAATCATTAGCATATTTTTTTTTTTCGCCACACTAACTTATTATTATTATGATTTCATTTTCGTAGTAAATTTTTAAACTAAACAACACCGAAACTCTTACATTGGATAATCAATGATTCCTGATGATTGCAGCCATTACGGAAGTATTAAACGAAAACGTTTCCTGAATTTGTGATTAGCTATTATTCATTTATTATTATTGCCATCATCGTCATAATTATAATTATTATTATTATTATTATTATTCACATTTTATTTCTTTACTTCATAACACTTTTTTATAACAAAGCAATAAGCCAAAAGAGAAATGAAGAACTAAAATACAATAATTGATTTACATATATTTCGCTTTAATCGAAAATTAATAATCAAATACGAAATATTTCTACTAAAACTTACTTCTATTTTTTAATATTCTTTTTTACTTTCTTTATTTTTCATTTTTATCGATTAAAGAACAATAAAAATGTATGTGAAATATTTGCATTCACTTTTTTAAAGTAATTAATTAACTTAAATATAAAGACGGAATTGCAAATAAAATGAATATTTATATTTGACCAAATTTTTATGAAGTAATTCATTCATTTATGATTTTTTTTTTATCAAATTATAAAGATTTTCGTAAATTATAAATATATTTGTAATTTTCGAATCAAAAAATAAATGATTTACAATATTATTTGCTCACTTTTCTACATTAATTTCTACACACAAAAAAAGGAACTACAAAAAAGGATTAATTTAAATTTTTTCAAAAATATAAGTGAAGTGAAATTTAGATGAAAAAAACTAAATTTTTCTTTTTTGGAAAATTAATTTTGCTTACGATTATTGTTATCAAAATATAAACAAATAATAATTAAATAAATATATAAATAAATATATTTATATAGCTTCCGAATAATGCAAAAAAAAAAAAAAAAATATACGATTTCTTAATTGCAATTATCGGTACATTTCTCTTTCTGTTGCATTTAATCAACCTGATTATGCATTCCGGTTTATGAAATATAGCAAAGGAATAGCGGGGAGAGAACAGAGAGAAAAAAGATGGGCAAGAACGGGCAAGGAAAATGTCGGGAAAGGTGGTGAAAGTTAGAAGAGAAGGAAAGAAGATGGAAAGAAAAGGGTAAATAAGCTATAAAGCAAAAGAATGGGTAAAACCCATTAATCCAAATGGTTCGCTTTTTTTTCTTTCTTTTTTTATTTTATTTATTTATTTATTTTTTTTAGATATTATCAAAAAGAGCTTAAACACACAGGTAGGTAGGCATATTGCATATTCACATATTTGGGTATATTTTCTCACCAAATGAAAATAATGAAAATCAGTAAATTAGAAGGAATCAATCATTTTGGAATGAATTATTTGCTAATGGAATTTGGAAGAATGGGCGAGTAGAAAAGGATATGGCAATTAAAAGAAACGGAAAAATGGATATTAATGGAAAGGAAATGAGAGTGATAACGAGGGACGAAACTTTCTGATATAATTAATGGTACTACTGATAAGGATGATAATGGTACTACTAATATATTTTTATTAATTTTAAAATTTGTTACTGTTAAATTTCAAGAAATTTAGCAATTACAACGAATAATAGATGGAATTTATTCATTCAAATTACCATTTGTCATAACTTTACAAATGGATCGAAATATATATATTTGAATAGAAAAACTGAATAATATTAAGTGTTATCATACAGATAGTGCGCAAAGAAAATAGCCATTAATTATTGATTTTTTTTATATTTTAAGTTAAATACAGTAATAGATGAAAATTTTAAAATCACTTAGTTTGCCATATTTTTGGTAGATTAAAAAATATACATTTTATGTTACTAATAATATTAGATAATAATAATAATAAAAATAATAATAATAATAATAATAATAATAATAATAATAATAATGCCAGTGATAATAATAATGACAAGAATTGGCATGAAAAAAAAATGAAATTGTGATGTAAGGTTGTTTCTCCGTTTTTTTAAACTTTTTTTAAATTCTTTTTTTTTAAATTAATTTACCTTACTAACTTTTCATATTATTAACTAAGTAATTGATTCAGACTCTAATTAAATTATAGATTAGATAGATAGATAGATAGATAGATAGATAGATAGATAGATAGATAGATAGATAGATAGATAGATAGATAGATAGATAGATAGATAGATAGATAGATAGATAGATAGATAGATAGATAGATAGATAGATAGATAGATAGATAGATAGATAGATAGATAGATAGATAGATAGATAGATAGATAGATAGATAGATAGATAGATAGATAGATAGATAGATAGATAGATAGATAGATAGATAGATAGATAGATAGATAGATAGATAGATAGATAGATAGATAGATAGATAGATAGATAGATAGATAGATAGATAGATAGATAGATAGATAGATAGATAGATAGATAGATAGATAGATAGATAGATAGATAGATAGATAGATAGATAGATAGATAGATAGATAGATAGATAGATAGATAGATAGATAGATAGATAGATAGATAGATAGATAGATAGATAGATAGATAGATAGATAGATAGATAGATAGATAGATAGATAGATAGATAGATAGATAGATAGATAGATAGATAGATAGATAGATAGATAGATAGATAGATAGATAGATAGATAGATAGATAGATAGATAGATAGATAGATAGATAGATAGATAGATAGATAGATAGATAGATAGATAGATAGATAGATAGATAGATAGATAGATAGATAGATAGATAGATAGATAGATAGATAGATAGATAGATAGATAGATAGATAGATAGATAGATAGATAGATAGATAGATAGATAGATAGATAGATAGATAGATAGATAGATAGATAGATAGATAGATAGATAGATAGATAGATAGATAGATAGATAGATAGATAGATAGATAGATAGATAGATAGATAGATAGATAGATAGATAGATAGATAGATAGATAGATAGATAGATAGATAGATAGATAGATAGATAGATAGATAGATAGATAGATAGATAGATAGATAGATAGATAGATAGATAGATAGATAGATAGATAGATAGATAGATAGATAGATAGATAGATAGATAGATAGATAGATAGATAGATAGATAGATAGATAGATAGATAGATAGATAGATAGATAGATAGATAGATAGATAGATAGATAGATAGATAGATAGATAGATAGATAGATAGATAGATAGATAGATAGATAGATAGATAGATAGATAGAGAGATGAATATAATTCCACACCCATTTGTTTCACCTTTGAAAAATGCTCCGCCTTTTCAGTTCAATCTTATTGGTTTGGTAAATATCATCAAATGTTTTATTTATTAGAAAGATTTTAACGAATCAACAAAATTCATTTAATAAAAAATTTAGAATTATGAAAAAGTTTTACTAATTATTGCTATTATTTTATTTCTTCTCTTATTGTATGAGCAATATCTGTGCTAATTATTAAAGTATTTATAAAGAAGAAGATGAACTGCTCCAAATATTTTCTTGTTGTGTGATTAATATCTACGCTAATTATTGGAGTATTTATGAAGAAGAGGAAGAATTGCTCCAACTAATTTCTTATTGTATGAGGAAAATGAATGACAATTATTGAAGTATTTTTGTTAAACAAAAATGCCCAAAAAGATAAACATACTGGCTTAGTGTTTTTGCTATTATTTGAACGAAATAAACGAAAAAAAAGGAAAAGAAAAGATAAAAATTTATATAACTTAAAGTTTCTTACTTTTTCTTTTTTTGGTCGATGCTTATAATATCAATTACTATTATGCCATCATTATCAAATTTTTCGGTGGAAAATTTAATTAATAATAATAATCATCATCATCATCATCATTATCATCATCATTATCGCCACAATTATCATCACCATCATCAACAACAACAACAGCAACAACAATTACTACAACAGCCAGAAAAAGTATATTCTAGCAAGCCTAGTTTAAGGCAAACATCTAAAGCTGATATTATTTCACATTCGAAAGTATTATCATCTAATGATAACGATATCACACCTTTATTTGCTACTACTACTCTTAATGAAATTAAAACTTCTACATTTAATCAACAATGCCAGGTACATTTGGCCGAATCAGATGAAAGCCCAGTTGAATGCATACCAGGAACAAGTCGAGAAATACTTCTATCAAGTATAATTACTAATCAGAATTGCAAGTCAGATTATCAAAATATTACAAATAGTAGCAATGACAATAATAATGGTAATGATAATGACATTAATCATGTTAACGATAATCATAACAATAATGATAATAATGATAATAGTAATAATTCAACTTCATCAACATCATGTCATCCAATTGTATGCTTATCAACACCAATTCCACAAACGCTATCTTATTTCGATGTTTTACTTCCACACATTCAGGTGAATAATTTTTTTTTAATGTTAAAAATTTTTTTAATTTTTCTTTGAAAAAAACTAAATTTCAAAAAGTTCATAATAAATAATTGATTAATATGTTTATATTAAATTATAAATTCATTAGTTATTTTTTTATTTTTTCACTTTTATTTATTAAATAAAATTAATTTCAAATAATTAAATTTTTTATTACAATTATAATAAATTTATAACTGTAATAGAAGAAGTTATAATAAGTGCAATAAGTAAAATATAAGTAAACAAAATTTCTTATAGCTATTTGTAAATGTTTATAATAAATAATTGATTGGCATCAATTTTAAATGGAATTATAATATTGTTTTATAAAATTATTACTATTTTTTTAAATAGAATTATAATATTTTTTTAATTCTATGTTTATCTTTCAAATTTTATTAACCTTATGATATGTTAGCAAATAATAAGTAATACTAATAAAATGTTTGCTTATCATCAAAGTCTATTTTTTATGATAACATCATAAAACAAATTTGCATACAGATAAACAGGTGAAGTAATATAATATTCGAGTTGGATTATTGATCAAATTTGATTATTTATGTTATAGCACTGAAACGTTTGCTTATTTATTTGATTTATAATATTAGCAATGCTTACCTTTTCTATTACTAATAATAAAGCTATCATCCAAATATCTATCATTAATATATTCTTCTTTACCACCTTTCCAGATAAAATCATATTTCCTTTCCCTTTTTTCTTCAGTTCAAAAAAAGATTTTTGAAAATTCAGCAAAATTATCGTATTTGTTTTATTATTTAGTGCAGTATAACAATTTGATAAATTATGATGGCGACGGTGATAATGATAATGATATGATCAAATATTATGGTAGATTGTCTAATGTGAAAAAAAAATATCATCAAGAAGATAATCCTTTCAATTTTCAAAATAAACAAATAAATTTCATATTTTGAAAATTCAAATTTTAGAAAGAACTATTTTTATTCTTCATTTTTTACAAATATTTTAATGGCCTTTATTTATTTGCTTATTTCATAATTTTAAAAATGTTAATTTTTATAAAAGTTATTGACTTATAATTGTAGAAATTATAAATGCATCAAATAAAGTCAATAAAAATTTTTATTGTATTAAAAGTAGTTGTATTTTAATTCTGCCTTTTTTTATTTTATTTTTATTATATTTTTTAAAAAGAAGAGAAGAATAAAATCAGTATTTTAAGGTATGGAAATATGTTAAATGCAAAAATTTTTGTCACCCATTCTTAACATTAAATTTATTTCTAATTTCATTTCAAATATTTGAAATTCTTTTTGTAGATGGCATCAGCAAATCCATTCATTATGGGTTTTAATGACAGCGATATCTGCCATAATCAGCAAAAATTATGGTCACAACAATGGATTGAACTTATTCAACAATCTGGTTATCGACAATTTGGTTTGTTTCTTGAATGATAAATGTACGGTAATTAAGTAATTAAGTTCCAACCATTTTAGTATTCTGATTTAAACTGAATTTTCCTACTTAATTAGACATTATTTCACAAATTCTTTATTATAAATTGATGTGTGAAATAAAAACGATAAGTAATAAATAAATTAATTAATTAATTAATTACTATGATATGCTACTTTTGTAGACAAGTTGTAAACTTTCTAAATATTTAATTTAATGTTTTTTCGCTTTTTTTTTTTAAACATTTTGAAATTTATCACATCATATATTACAATATGAATTGAATTTGATTCAATTAATTATATCTTAGTTTAAAATAGAGTAAAAACTTATCGTTTGATGTTTTTTAGAGAAATAAAATGAAATATTAATTTGTTAATTGTAATAATAATATAAGTAAAATATGAAATACAAAGAATTAAAAGCAATTTATTGTACTAATTTAAATTTGTTAAACTAAGCTAAATTCAACAAATTTAATTTTAATGAATTAAGTTCAAATTTCATATATGGTGCAAAATATGGAAAAAAAAAACGTTTAATTAACTCTTAATAATTACGATCACATATAAATTATTAAAATAAAGTAAGACAAGTTTTTTTCAATCAGTTCCAGTGACAATAAATATTGCAATTAATAGTACATGAGTTTCCGGATGAAAATTTGCAATTTCAATAATAATTTTTTTTTATTTAATTAGGTTCGATTAAATCAATATAATCTTTTCTTAATTTCAATTAAATTTTTTATCATTAATTTTATATTCTATTTTTAAATATAATTAGCAGTAATTATTTGTTGTTTTTCATCTGTTTGCAAAATTATTCAAATGTAATTCTGACAATCATAACGGTTTGTTTCTTTTTTTTTATTTTCATTTTTTATTATTTTATGATATCCATCCTAAACCCTTTGCATCAAAAATTCAACAGAAAATTTAATTACCAAATTCTTTTAATATTCATATGATAAAAATGGCTGAATAAATATGCAAAATTAAAAATAATATTAGAATTTTGATTTTATTTCATTTTTTAAAATTTAATAGCATATTGTTCTGAAATTTTTTTGAAAAAAGAATGCTAAAATAAAACAAAAAACAAAAGAAAACTACAATAAATGAAAATACTTTATAAATAAAATATAGTGTTTCTATTTAAATTAAAAAAAGATGAAAGAATAGGAAATGGATTGGGTAAATTTGTCACAAATATTTCATAGCAAATTACCCATAAATTTATGAAACAAATTGTTAGTTACCTATTGGTTTACCTGTAAATTTGTTGACTAAATTAATGGTTGCAAATATTTTCGATTAATATATCACTCTAATATCCATCAAATATTCCTCCATCAATCATTGCATACAACCAATATTTCCTTTTATTTCTTTTTTTATTTTTCTTTCTTTCTAACAGTGAAATCAGATAAGAAATAAATAAATTTTTTCTTGAATTTATCAAAAATATTGATTAATTAATTATTTTTATCAAAAATATTGTATTAAATACGTTATACTCTAATAGTGTATATCAATGTTATTATTGATTGATTGATAGGATTATTGATTGATTGATTGTTTCGTTCGATTAACATACTTCTTTTTCCTAAATTTTGATAAAAAGTTTTCAAATATTTTTAAAAAGAATTAAATTTAGATGAAACTACCGCTGGTCTCTTTTTACAACCATTTCGAAAGAATAAACGAATTCGTACCGCTTTTTCACCTCAACAATTAGTTGAACTTGAAAAAGCATTCGAATTAAATCATTATGTGATCGGGAATGAACGTCGAGAACTAGCAACCAACTTATCACTTACTGAAACACAAGTAAAAAATTTTTTGTCACTTCAAAATTGTCCCATTAAATTCATTAAAATCTTATTTTTGTTTGAATTCAGGTTGGAATAATTCAGTTTATTATAAATTGAAACTAAAAATGGTAGTAATACATATTGTCGGGAAAACTTGTAAATTTTATTCTAAATTTTAAAAAAAGAAACAAAAATCTGACAGAATTTTTTTTAGTTTGATTTATTTATTTTTTTCTGGTATTAAACATTAAATAAACGAAAAAAAGACATAATTTTTTGTTTTTATTTTATTTAAGCATTTCGGTTATTAGTTTTTTTTTCCCAAAAAAATTTCCCTCTTAAAAATTAAAGGAAACAAAAATAAAGAAAAAACTTGCAAAAAATGTCGCACAAGTTTTTTCCTTCTGATAACAAAATTATTTAATTCTAAGTAATGCATTATTGATTGATTAAAAAATTTTCTTTAATAGAATTTTAAAATAACACATATAATTATCATAAACTTGATGAAATCTTATGTCTGCTAGAAATTTTTTGGATATTTTTACATTTACCGTAAGTAATAGTTAATTATAAATAAATAATCCGATTAGAGTGATAAATAAACCGGAATAATCTGACTAGAATGATAAAGAAACCGAAATAACTAATAAAATTCCATTTTTTCCCACAAAAATTTCCGTCGAATAATTCTAAATAATAATTATAGTTAATAAATCCGTAAATTTTCCAAAATTTAATTTTTCAACTACTAAAATAAATTAATTAAGAAACAAATTATATTAAATAATTTTTCTATTATGCATTACAAACTGTGTAGAAAAAAATTTATTGTAAATTTAAAATATTTTGAAAAATGTATTTATGATTTAAATTCCTTTATCGTTCCAAAGAAATATATTTCCTATTGTATTTGATAAAATAATTATTTCTTGTCAGATCGAAAGTGTGAGGGAGAGAGAAAAAGAGAGAGAGAGAGAGAGAGAGAAAGGAATAGTATCTACCATAGTAGCTTTTTAAAGTCGTTAAGCAAACAATAAAACATCAAAAAAAAGAGAAAAGAGAAAAAAAAGTGAAAATGGCAATTGATGACAAGATTTGACAAGTGGTTGAAAGAAGTGAGGGAGGGGGAGAGACAGAGAGAGGGAGGGACAGAGAGAGAGGGCGAGAGAGGGAAAGTGAAAGAGAAGAAAAACAGTTAGGGATGAATTAATTTAAATTTAAACATTGAAGATGTAATATATATTTGTAGGAAGAATTCGAAAAAAAAATTCTAGTAAATTTATTTAAGTCATATTAATTTAAATTTTATTAATTCAATTCTAATACTAAATATATTTGTGTATGAAAGGAAGAAAATTAAAATTTAATCGAATTGAATGGAAGAATATGTACATTGAAGAAATATTGTACTTATAAATAAAATTCAACATTATTAAAATATAATTTGAAAATTGGTAGGAAAAAAACGAGAAAAAAATGTAAATATTATGTGCTAATTAAATGGATTAATTGTAATTAATTAATTAGAAATAAATTTTAGAAAAATATGTATATAATACATTATAATATTACCACAATTCTTAATTATTTCCTTATATTATAATATTACTGAAATTCTTATCGCTTTAAATTATTCAAATTTGATTTTTCCAAAAAAATAAATAAAATTAATAAGGTTAATTCTTTTTTAATCATTGTTGAAAACAAAGAGTTAAGTTGTTCTTACTTTAGTTTTTCCTTCTTTTTTTTTGTTTTTTCTTAATTCTACTTCAATTTTTTGCTAATATTTAAATATTAAGAAAAAAATTAAACTAAAAATTTGCTGAAGAGAATGTAGTAAAATTTTTGAATGCGAACTAACAAAAAATTTTATTAATTAATCTATTTTCATGATTTTATATTGTCTGATAAATGAAAAAATAGTTTCAAAAGCAATTACTTATATTAATAAATCAAAATGCTTCATCACTTCCAATTTTTTAAGTAATACTTCAGGTTAAAGTATGGTTCCAGAATCGTCGTACCAAGCATAAACGAGTTAAATCGGAATCCGGAAAAGCAGCAAATTCGGACAACACAAAATGAATGAATGAAATATTTATGATTTGTTTTCGAATTTTTTTATTTTTCACTTTTTCTTTTTTTTTACTCTCATTAATAATTATTAATAATTGTAAAGAAAAGGTATAAATTAGTTCTTTATTCACTGAGTTTTTATGTAATTTTCGGATTACTGTAACTGTGGAAGTGAGAAGATGGAAAATTTGACAGAAATTAGTTGAAGAAATAGTTAATTTAATTCAAATTGATTTTACTATTTATCAATAATTTTAATAGAACTGCTAAATTCAAAAGAATTCTGGCAAAATTCGAAAATTTTTGTTATTTTTTAATTTTTAATCTCAATGGGATTTCATTATAGCAAAAATAAAATAATAGTAAAAACTATATTTGTGTGATTAAATAACTTCAAATTGTTTTCTAATTTTCATCAATGAAAAGATATTTTCCATTTCTTATTTATTTAAAAAAAATTTTTCTTATTGATGACTAATTTGTTATATATTATATAACTACTTGTTTAAAAAGAAAGAAAAAAAAAATATAAAATTAATAATTTCTAAAATTGATTTGAAAAATAAAAAACGAAGTTTTTGTTATATTTTTATTTCGTTCTCTTCGTCTTTTTCTTTTGAAAATTTTGAGACTTCTTTAAATTGCAGATTTATACGAATTAAGTATGAATTTTGTAGATTGTAAAAATTTGTAAATGCAACCACAATTACATTTCTTTGTGAACAATGTCAAAAATTAATTCTTAGAGAGAAAAAAGAAAACGAAAACGATGACAAAAGAAACTGATTTCAGGTAGAAAAGGAATTTAATTAATTTTATAATCTTTTTAAAGTTCAATTTCTTCTTTTTTTTTTTTTTATTCCAACTGATTAGTAATTTTATTTTCCATTTTTCCATAATTCTTTGCACATTTTAATTTTTCTATTCATTCGTTTCTTTTTTTATCGTAAAATGTTTTTTAAGAAACGCTAACTGAGAGAAATAATTTGGTTGTTTATTTATTTGTTTACTAATTTATTTTTTTTTTTTATTGTTAATAAATTTATTGCAGTTTTACAATAATTTCAATCAGATTTCATAATATTAATGCACTTTTCGTGTATAAACCAAAATAATTGAATATAATTTGATTCTCTGGAAAATTTCAAAAAAAAGGGAAAAAGATTTTCAACTTTCAATCATGCAAGTTGATTAAATAATTCTCTAAAATATCACAACAAATTGGTGCTTTTAATTATTTTTGAAATTTGATACTAAGTTTAACTTAAATAAGAAAAGTAAAAAAAGAAAAAAATAAAACAAGAAAAGAAAACTATAGACAAAGTTTTTATGTTTGAAATAATTCAAGAAAAATATAAGATTGATTGTTTTGTTAAAAATTGGTGCATAATTTGTAAAATTGCTAAAGTTCAATTTTACAATTTGCTTTCGTTTTCTATTTATCATCTTAAATTGGCTAAAAAAATATTCATTTCATTATTTGAATAAAAATTTACACTATTTTTAGGGAAATGAAATGAATTACTTATAAAGAATTTGATAATATGGTGAATATTTTGTTTTATTAAGAGTAATAATTTAAATTAAAACTTTACAATGTTTTTTTTTTACATTTGTATTAGTGATTAAATATTTGTAAAATAATCTGGAAGATTTCTTTGTTCTATTATAAATTAAGTTAAATCAGAAAAGAAGAATTGATATTATTGCATTTTAGTAATTCATTTGATCAATACTTTGTATTTTTCTTTCAACAAATACTTTACTTTTTGATCATTTACAAATATAAGTCTTATCATTTAATTTAATCAATTAATCATATCATCGTCAATTCATTTCTGAAATTTTTAAATTTATTACTGAATTATAACTAACAGAAATAGATAAGAATAAAATACTATTAAGCAAAAAATGAAACGAAAAAAAGATAAAATAAGAAAATATTTTAAATCTATAATTATCACAATTAAATTCATCGTCATCGTATCGTTTTGTTAAATTATCAAATATTGTTAAACGATTACAATCATTTTTCTCTACATTTATTAGATTAGAAGTATATTGTGTCATCGTTTTTTAAAAGGAAATTTTTTGTTATGAAAGGATTGCCGATGAAAATGAGTGGTTATTGTGTGATCGGTTAAATGCCTTCCAATAGCGCTTCATTTTTGGCTCATTTATTCATCAAACCTAAAATTTATTTCAATTTTACATCCAAAATACTAAGATTATCGTTTTTCACAAATGTTTCCAAACATGCAAAGGGTAAAAGAGAAATATCATTGCACAATTAATAGCTTCACAAGCTATTACCTCACTTTTTTTCCTTTCTTTTCTTTCTTTCTTTCTCTTCTTTTCCTCTCTCTCTTCCTTTTTCCCTTCTAATATTATCATTACAATTCCTTTCAAACAGGTAATTTTCTATCTATTTTTTTTCACATAATCTTCTTTATTATTTTCAATTTTACGGATATTATCGGTTGATTTCTTCTCCGATATACTGAAATTAATAATATAATATAGGAATTATATGTAATGCACTCAAATAATAAATACAAATTATAAAATATACTCAAATACATTGTCTGTATCAGTACACAATATGCATGTAATCAATATCGGTATAAATACAGGAATTATGTACTATGTGCTTAGACATACAATTATTAATATTATTATTATTATTAATATATATATATATAGGAATAGGAATTATATTATATACTAAAATACATAATACATAATCAATATTAGTAATTAAAATAAATACAAACATACAGGAAAACATATTAAACTTATAGGAAAATTTAATTATATTTAAAAACAGATATACGAGTATATATTGTATATTCAAACAATATATTAATTATATTTTAAATACGATATACAGAAATATCAGATTACACATATACTTAAATAATACAATGTATTCTCATTTCTTTTTAAATGAATTTTCATTAATGGAAGAAAAAGCGTTATATTTTCATTTTTCTTCAACTTTAACCTGTTTACAGGTAAATTGAGCATAAAAATTTGAATATACTAAATTACAGAATAATCGTAGGGCGAAGGTATGACAATAAATTAAAAAGAAATGTGAGAAAAGAAATTTTGGATAAACTTTTTTCTTTCTCTTACCTTTTCTACATTTATCAGATATTATTGATTGATTGTAAGGTAAAAAAAAAAGATAAAATTTTGGGAACAAAAAGGTAAAACAAATAGTTTTTTCGATTCATTGTTTTTCGTTTCTTTTTCTATTATATTTTCAAATATTATACATTTCCTTATGCATTTTTTTTCATATTTTTTTTCTTAAACAAAAAAAGAAAGAAAAAAAAATGAAATAAAATAAAATTTTAATGTTTAAAGTAGAAATTATTGAAAAAGAAAACAACTTCTTCTCTTAATTTCTTAAAAAAATCAGAAATAATATATAAATTTTCTCTTTTTTTTACTCAGGGAAGTACTGATAACAAAATCAAAATGTATAATTTGCACATTTACTCTGTTTAGTTAATATCTTCCTTTAATTTTACTTTTAATTTTAAGTTATAAATTTTGACTGTGTGCTTTATCTTCGATATTTGACTGATATTCTTTTCCTGATCACAAATCCGCAAATATATCATCTTGGGAATTTTAAAATTTGTTTCTAAAACTACAAAATCCATTTAATATTCGACAATTTCAAGTTTTCAAATTCCACCTAAAAAAAAATCAATTTTCAGATTCGTTTAACTAATTGCAAGATGAAAAAATGAGATTTTTAGAAACAAAAAATTAAAAAGTTCATTTTAGGAATTTGAACAAAATTGTAACTTCGAGTTTTGATAAAAAATTAGGTTTGAGAAATAATTAATTAAAAAATAATTGTGTAAAATGCTGTGATTAAAGGCAGGAAATTAAATTTCATTAATAAACAAGTTGATTAGTAAGTTGAACGAAAGTTTTTTCAGTAATATTAACAATTATAAATCAATTTCAAAATTAAAAACGAATACTGTTCCATTTTTTTTTGTCAAAAAAGTTTATTAGGAAAGGCGTTTATATTTATTAGTTGATTTAAAAATTTGATTACAGTACCTGTAATATCATTTGTAAACACCGTACTTTTGGTGTATTTTTCTTCCTGAAATTCAATTCTTTTTCTTTCACAACCTCCCTCTCTCTCTCTCTCTCTCTCTCTCTCTCTTTACTTTAATATAATTAACCTTACTGAACAGAGTTCATCAATGACATTCACTACTGCCACTACCGCCATTTATTATCACAATTACTACTGCTACTACTACTATTAATAATAATAATAATAATAATAGCTATCAAATGTTTATACTTTTGCTAATACTTTTAGTAAATAAAACATACATTGTTCAGAAGTGACCATCCAATCTCTTTGTAAATAATTCTTCTTTTATTTGATTTTATTCAATTTTATTTTCCTTTTTTGTTGGAGTTTTTTCTGTTAGCATTTTTTAAATTTAATTAATTCAAGTTGAAATTAACCAAATAAAACTAATGAGGAAAAAAGTAATTAATTAAGATGCTAATTAATTAAGATGCTAAGTATTATTTAAGAAAAAAAGATTAGAATATAAAAGTGAATTACTAATGATATATGATATTATTTATTGATGTCTATAATTTAACACAGCTACGAACACGTATGCGACGTAGAAAAACGTCAGAGATATAAATTGTTAGTGATAAAAAGGTATAAACGACAATAGAAAGCAATGATATCATAATTGGATACAATTGGCGTTCGAGAAAAATGAATGTAATTAATTTATTAACAAATTTTAAGTTTATTCGTTAGATTAAAACAAAAACAAAACTTCATTTTTTGTTAAGCTAAACTAAAATTTCATTTCAAATAAAGTTGTGCAACAAATTTGCAAATATTTGATAATTTGACAAACGCAACTCTAATTTTTGAATTGTTTCTCCATTTTTTTATTTTATATTATAAATCACAATAATATTGCAATAATTTAATCAATGTT